CAGAATTATTAACTGTATTCTACAGAATTATTGACAGTTATTAACTGTTATCAACTATTAATAATTCTGTAGAATAACTGGGGACAGATAAACACTAAAGAATACAGAAAGTGGTTCAGCGCCTCTGGCTCAAGTGGCTAAGGTGCCAACCACATACACCAGAGCTGGCAGGTTCGAATCCAGCCTGGGCCTTCCAAACAACAATGATGGCTGCAACCAAAAAATAGCTGGGTGTTGTGACGGGCACCTGTAGTCTCAGCTACTTGGGAGGCGGAAGCAGGAGAATCACTTGAGCCCAGGAGTTGGAGGTTGCTGTGAGCTGTGATACTACGGCACTCTACCCAGGGCAACAGCTTGAAGCTCTGTCTCAAAAAAAAAAAAAAAAAAAAAAACCAGAAACCGCAGACACAAGAAGCAGCCACAGCTCTCAGGTCTAAGATAGAGAGCTCAAGAAGAATAACAGCCCCAGGCCGAGATCCAGGACCTTGATGGAATAGGCTTAACCATGGCTCACTCAAAGGGCACACGTATATATCCCTGTTGTGCTATACCAGTGGAAGGTGCCAGAAGTCTGTCCTCTAGAATGCAGAGGGAAAGCAGTTCACAAGGAAGTGTCTCTGCTGAGGTGGATGCTGCAGACTGCTGAAGACTGCAGCGGCCAGGTGCTGGAGAAACCACGAGCCTGCAAGAGCCAGACTGGAGAAGCGTGCACATGGCAGGAATAGCTCTCCAGCGCCCTCTACTGAAAAACTTTAGCATGTCAGCCAGGAAAACAAAAAGGACTTTAAAGGGCCAAACTCTAATTTTGAAGCTTGGAATAATGTGACAGTAAATTGATAAATGGCACACCACGTGATTCCATTTACATAAAAGTATAGAAAAAAAATCAGCCAGGGGCGATGGCTCACACCTGTAACTCTAGCACTCTGGGAGGCTGAGGCAAGAGGATCTTTGAGGTCAGGAGTTCAAGACCAGCCTGAGCAAGAGTGAGCCCTCTCAACTTTGAAAAAGGAAAGAATTTAAATAGATAAATAAATAAAATGAATTATAAAAAGAGCAAGACCCCATCTCTACTAAAAATAGAAAAATTGGCCCAGCTAGCCCCTGGAATTGGGAGACCTGAAAAGCTGGGAGCTGAAGCAGCTGGTAGGCCCCAGGTATTTCTCCCTGTCTTCACACAGTCTCTTCAGCCTGATGGCTTCAGGGCAGCCAGATGTGGTGGCTCAGGCAGTGGTGTGCTGGAGCCACCTTGCCAGTTGTGCACATCTCTTTCCGACTCATTCCAGCTCTCCAGTTCAGGGATTTCACATCAGTGCCTTGCAGTCAGCTGTGGTGCGTGTATGTACACTACAATGCTGAAAATCCAAGCCTTTTCCCCTCTACAGAACCTGTTGTTAAACATTTAGCAGCACACCACTGGACTTGGGGCTCCAAAGCCACATGCCCCAAGAGGCTATATCCTCTTTTATGACCCAGCCTTAGCAATATCAGTTTTGCAGTGCTCTAAAAGTTGAGGTAGTCACAAATGCCTGCCATGTGCCACAAGGACAGGTCATGGACTCCACAGCTTAATGAGGAGTGCTGAAGCCATTTCAGACAGAATATGTATCACAGCCATAGTACCTTGGGTCCCTGGAAGCTGAATGCCAGAATCATCCCTAGTTACTGTGACAACCAATAGTAACTTCCCCAAAACACACTTCTAAATGTCCTGGCAGCAGGCAGTACCAGGCCTTATTTGTCCCATTCTTACCCACCCATTAGATGGCATTCAGCCTTGCAATATAACGGCTACGTGACCCTCAGCAAGACATCCAAACAAGCATCATATATAGTTTGTATAAATAGTATAGCTGAGGGTTCATAAGATATATTTTGTGAGGGCTGGGCGCAGTGGCTCACACCTATAATCCCAGCAGTCTGAGAGGTAGAGCCAGGTGGACTGCCTGAGCTCACAGGTTTGAGACCAGCCTAAGCAAGAGTGAGACCCCATCTCTAAATATGGCCAGGCGTTGTGGCGGGCTAC